TCATAGGATAGCATTGCCAAAGCTATTCCGGAGGTCGACCTCTTCGGGAGAGGATTACTCCCGAAGCAAAAGAGGTGCAGACAAATGAATGGCACTGATTTGTAGGTCAATAAACACTGTTTCAAATTAAACCAACAATTAAAAAATTTCGGCTAAATTTGATTAACAAATTGCGTCCCAAATAATTCACCAAATTATCAATGCAAGCGTTAGTATTTATACTAACTGAATATTATGCTGCATAATTTATGCATGTATTTAGTGCAGTCGTACACAATTTGCACCGACAATGAAACATTGGGTGCGAGAGCTCCTGTAGTTTTCTCAATGATAAGCAATAATGGTTTACATTGAAAATATTTGTTTTCAGATCAAATTAATTGCTTTTAGTATTAAAAATAACTTATTTATTATTGTCTAAAAATTTCTTTAAAAAACTTTAAACTAACAAACTAGTAAAATATTTAATTATTAATAATTAATTATAATTATTTTGTATATCACAAATATACAGCACTTAACCATAAATTGAACATTACAGTAAATTGTCCTGATTCTCAAGTGAATTCTACAATTAAATTATAAATAATTAATAAGTTTTGAAATGCAAAGCAATAAATTAGTCACAATTCGAGTGATGTATTAAAATTTTCAAAATTTTATTTTTAACATTAACTTTCAAATACATTAAAAGATCATGTTTTTTAAAAAACAAATTTTATATAGAATATTAACTATGTCAATAGTTTTTAAAATATGATTACAGTATTATGTATACTTTAAGATGTATAATATAAAAATAGTTGAATATATTTAAAACAAATATAACACAATGTGAAGAATAAGGCCAGAAAATTAACCGACATGCCAAACGCCCGGTGCATTGGGTAGCCTAACCAAAATGTAACTCGACCAATAATGAACAGACCATTTAGCACTGAAATTACATTTCCAATAGAATTGGGCTCTAAATACGTTACTATAATCAGTTGCGAGACAAACGACATAATGAATTGTTCCAGGGTGTTTAGAAAATGCATCTTGGCCAGCTCGGTCAAATCCTCGCTACCTGAACAGGGTATCATCGCTCGGGTGCCGATCCGTTTCGATATGACCCAAAGCATCGACAGGAATAGCCATAAGAGGGCAGGTGTTTGGTGTCGGCAAACATACTTGAGCTGAGCGCCAGCGTCGATGAGATTGACCCGGGTATTGTCGGGATATTTACCATTATCAAATGTTCCCATATATATTATAACACCCGCTATAATCATAACTATGGCGGCGAGTATTGAATGTATGGCAACGCGACGGCCATAGGCTTTAAGATCTTCCTTGGTAGTTAACGGAACAGCAGATTGTGGCATTTTAATTAGTTAATAATTAATTAATTAACTATTATTAATTTTTTAGATAATGTTGTGTTAAGCTAATTTAATATTATTACAAAATGGCTCTAAATTACAAACGGTAATGTTGTTTGTCTATTAATACTGCATTATTTTACATAATAAACCAGTTTCTCATGGTCAATTAAATAACGGCAGTTTCTAGTCCTTGAAGTAAGCTGTTTTAAAAACATATTGAATTTTAAAATGGTAAAGATCAAAGTAATATATTGATGGTTATTGATTGTATTAGCAGTAATAAAATTGAATGCATATTCTTACTTTTTAATTTACTTTTAAATTAATCTCACATACTGTATACAATTAGTAATTGTATTAGTAATTGTCAATTACTAAATACATTATTTATTAATTATCTAAATTAATTAAGTACATGTTAGTGGGAATAGTAAGTTACAACTAGTAACTAACACCTACATTGACAATTTTTACATTAATCAACAATAAAAAAATATTAAATAAATTGTGTTCAGATACGTTTAAAGCAAATTTTAATTTATTTATTAAACAATAATATTTTTCACAAAACATCCTAATATAACGTTATTAAACACGTGATAAAAAACTATTTCTAGAAAATGTGTTTCTCTGATAGTATTATTAAAAGGATTGCATTGTTATATAAAGACTTTACAATGACTTAAATCCTGAACCGTTCTTCAAGTTTAACCAAATCGACGCTCAAAGACCACAGTTTACGGGCCGTCGAGTCATCCATAGCTTCGGCTACCATACTGTCTACTCTATGACAATTACTGAACCAAAACAAACAAACATCATATTAACTAAACATCATTACAATAACATCTCGATTATAACGGACTCGTAATAAAAACCCGACTCATTGGCCACCGACTCGTCGAGAGCGCAGTAGAGTGTGGTCTGAGATCCCAAACAGGGTTTTAGGAAAAAGTTGCGTTTGAAAAAGCCATCGCTGAATGTGGTGTGCCGTTGCAGGTCTGTACTGATGGCACCGGGGTTTAGGCTATAGGTGTTGACATTGGTTTTGTCCAGTCGTTTAGCCAATTCCCTGGTGAATAGCACGTTGGCCAGTTTACTCTGAGCGTACGCTTTGGTTGGGTCGTAAGCGCCGTGTTGTAAGTTTATGTTATCAAGGTTTATTTCGCCCAATAAATGCATGCTTGATGAAACGTTGATTATACGAGCTGATGGCGAGCTTCGTAATAATGGTAATAGGTGCATGGTTAGTAGAAAATGACCTAGCAAAATAAATATATTTATTGTAATAAATTGCTACTGGTACGTTAATACCTAGATTTTAATAATGTATGTATGCACCACAATAATTAATATAATTTGTTAAACCTATTATATGGTATAAAATTTGTACCTAGATGATTAGTTCCAAACTGCATCTCAAACCCATCCTCCGTCTGCCACTCAGGACAGGCCATAACTCCCGCGTTATTGATAAGTATATCGACTTTTGTCTCCAAATCCGACAACTCTTCCACACATTTGCGGACAGATTTGAGTGAAGACAAGTCCAGCGAAAGGAGTCTTATATTTGCCTTTGGATTCAATGCAAGCATTTCTCTCATAGCGTTTTCCCCTTTCCGTGAGTCTCGACACAAGATATAGACCTATTATTTTGTTTTTATAGTAATTACTATTTAATTATTATTAAATATAATTTTAAATAAACTTATTGTTTAAATATGTTTAACAATAATTTATTATTAATTTAGCCTATTTATTAAATTTATTATTTAACTTAAATCCTTTTATATCTCACAAACCTTAGCCTCTCTGAGTGTGAGCTGAAACGCTGTCTCCTTCCCAATGCCAGTGTTGGCGCCGGTAATGACCACTACCTGTCCGTTGAGCCGCTTATTACTGTTCACAATACGTCTCCACCCAAAGAAATTGGTCACCATTTCATAGAAAGCTATGCCTAGTATACGCCACGCGTGTTTTAATTTCATTATGATGCTCAATATTAATTAATTAGCCAGCTGATATTATGAAATTCTAATATTTAAAAATGTAGGCTAAATAATAAATTAATTAAGCAATAGCTAATTGAGCAAATATGTTTAATAAGTTATAAATACATGAAAACATATCAAATCATTCATTAATTTTATATAAGATAGTTGCGATAGAGTTGTTATGTGTTTTATCAATATAAAACTTTGTGTTTTAGTCCCAGTATATTAAAAATAAAGTACATGCTAACAAGCAATTAAGTAAGAAATTGTGCTAGCATATTGTATTTGTAATATTTTTCAAAATTGTGACCTGTTATCTGCATAATAATGGAATTATAATATAATCCATAGTAATACATAATTCATACAATACATAAATTATCATATTATTTGCTATATTGCTATATAAAAATGAATCAAGTTGTAATATGTTATCAAGTTTAGAAAATTATATTATATATTGAAACAACAAACACAATACAAATTGGTCATATTGTAAAATCTATATAATATAATTACAGTAACATAATTGTCAAAAATTAAAACAATTAATTATCAAATAGTTATACAAATGAAACACTCACACAATCAGTAGTGTATTGTCACACAAACATTGTATTTACCATAGTTATAAAGGGTATTGATTTAGTACAGATAGTGTGCTGAAGAATGCTTAATACAAGTTATTATTATTGAGTAAATACATAATTAAAACAACAATCAGTTTTGCATTCAAAATACGTTTAATTTAATTATAAAATTTTTTATAACAAGTGTTATTACGTATAACTCGTGAAATATCACAAACCCGGACCTTAATGACATCTAGTCTAACACTTATGGCCAACAATTGATTAAAATGAAAGGCATTTAATTGAATGGGTTGTTGACTATCAATAGTGAGAGTCTGGAGGACCGGTAGTCTTGAGATGTGATACAAACAGTGGCCAGTAATCCAGCCATGAGTGCCATTGATCACCAGATGTCTAATCCGTGGTAAATGCCGATCAATATCAGCCAAACAATCGCTATTTAATGAACTAATAAATAACTTTAAATGCGTTAATCGTCGGCAGTTTCTCAACGCTATCATCAGTTGCCAATCCATGTCCTGATGACCGCTGAATGACGTATTAATTAACTTGATTTTCAGTGACAATCGCTTGAGTCGCCGGAAGTGTTGTATTGAATGTAGTGTTGTCCATATTGACTCAAGGTTAACTTTTGACTCGGGTTAACCCGGGTCAAAGTCAAAAATATTTTTGACTCATTGGGTTAAAAGTCAAAATTCTTTTTGACCCGGGTTAACTTGGGTTAACCTTTTAACCCTTGCAGGCCATTGTTTACACAGTAAAAATGATAATTTGTAATGAAAAATAAGTTTATTAAAGAAAGGAGTGGTTGTTATTTATATTATATTAAATTAAATCTATCTAGAATAAAGTAAATTAATTGTAATTACAAGTTTTACAAGTTTTTCTTATGTAATAAACTTATTTACATTAACAAATGCCGATAATTTACTATATTGCTATGACAACAATGACGTCAAAGGGTCAAAAGGTTAACCCGGGTTAACCCGGGTTAACCCAGGTCAAAGGTTAAAGTCAAAGATGTTTCTGACCCGGAGGGTCAAAAGTCAAAACATTTTTTTACTTTTTAACCTTTGGACAACACTAATTGAATGCAATGTCTGATGAATTACTTCTCTTGAAAATGACAAACATTTTAGTGAAAACTTTTCTAATTGTCGACAGTTTTGGCCAATATTTTGCAATATGTCTGACATATTGAAATTGTAGGGTATGTCGAGCGACAATTGTCTTAATTCTGTCAACTGATCCAAAGATTCAAAGCTTTTTACTTGCATTTCGTGTGACAGACATTTCATTGACAGTCTCTTAAGTCTGGGATTATTTGCCACAAACGTTGCCATATCTTGTCTCGAAAGACCTGATAGTACACCACATTTAAAATGCGTTAAATCTTTGGCCAAAACTATTTTTTCGCAAACAAATACATTGGAAATAAACTGGACATTCATATGAGACAACCGATCGCATTGGAAAACATTATAATGTCTAAGAATGGGAAATGGCAAATTGATCCTGGTCATCATCGGGGCCAAGCTTGACAAATACTTATCATCATCAATATGGTATTCCATTGTACAATATATATCTCTTAAATGATAACAATTGTTACGCAATGTTTCTATTGTTGACTTCATTTGATTGCGAGTAAGTCTAATGGATAGACAGTCAACGGTATGAATGTTTGGGCATTTCATTGCAATTGACTTCAATAGTAATTCGGGAAAATGTTTGCCACTGAAGAGTATGTCAATGAGATTGTTGTCCATTTCAATGATAGTAATTGTGGTAAAGACTGTCCTCTGGAACTGATTGGACACACATTCGTAACGGAATCGGTCTTTGAATGAGAGGTAAGACAATAGATATTTACACAAATCATCGCCAAAACGATCCAAAGAGTCTTTTGCATAGCTTTCGCACATTTTTACTAAACTTTTAAGTAATTTATAATAAAAACTTATAAATAATTATAAACTATAATAAGAAACAAATTGGTAAAAAACATTATGCGATTTAAATGACAATCAATTTGTTTGAAACACTTGTGACGAAAAATAGGACAAATCTGTTATTCAAATACCATTTCAAACAATGCTTCAAATATATTGTTATGAAGTGAGGTTCGTGTCGATCGCCAGCTATCGTAACCACAGTAGTGGACAATAAAGGGTAAACTCATTAACAATTACAACAATAACTTCATTACAAATTAGAGAAAAAAGTGAATTCGAAGAGGACTTAGAATAGACTGCGAATAATACATAGAGTGTGTGAGTCTTATATACCCTGTTTATGACCTAAAGGTAAGAATAATATGAGTACATAAATGTGCGCATCGTATGCATATGAGGTGATAGATAGGGGTGAGCTCATCGAAGTCACCTTGATAGTTGACTGGAATATTACCAGGAGTGACTGATTAACATTCACGACAATATAAATCCTTTAATCCATTTGCAAACTCATGTCTTATATTTGTTTTGAAACACATGTGCTATTTATAAACGAGATTGACGTCACATTAATCCGTCACATGTCATCATTTAATCTATAGTTAGGATTATCCCAAACCTTCTCATCATGTGATTGAAAATTGCTAATCAAATCAGATAATAATTTTCAACAACTACTCGACACAATGAACAAAACTTTTGCAAAATAAATATTGTGATCAAAAACACTTACTTGTATACAGTAATTGAGTGTAAATTTACTAACCTGGTTAAAATTCACAGTGATGTTAATGTAAATAAATAAATCAAATAAACACAATTAAAGAAACTTTAAATTCAGTTATAGTTTTAACCCATATTTAAGTAAAAATTGTTTCATTTATTATATTTCTGTATATGTAAAATGTTTTAATATTAGTTTTACCATATTGTTATTTCTTTACATTTTATTAACAGATTTATATAAATAATAACTATTTAATAAAATTAATAATATAGTTGTAAGTATATTAATAAGCAAATTAATTAATATAAAATTTATTAAAATAAAAAATAAGTTTATAAAAATAAACATAACTTTTACATGTATATCAATATTATTTAATTATTTTTAAAAACAGATGGGTTAGTTGAAAAGTTTCATTTGACAAATATATCAACAAATTATACTGTATAAAATTGACTAAATTAAACAACCAAGATTATGTCCAAACCGGGCATTCTACATAAACCCAAATACCCGGTACCGGCGGGAGTCACTTCAATAATGCCATACGAGTGCAACCCTTTAAGTGGTAGCCAACCTTTGACAGATAACATTCACCAATGGACATTTGAGACCAGCTTATGTACCAAGCAGAAATACGAACGAATTCGCGGAACCACCTTGTTCGTTGACTATTTCTGGCCATTTTGCGCAGACCCGGCTCGGTATGAGATACTGGTCAAAGTGGTGCTCAACCTGTTTGTGTTAGACGACCACATGGAGACCCGGGACGGCGATATTGGTCGCCAAGTGGCCGACGTCAAGCACATATTTGGCCAATTGTATGGCGTATACGATAAGCTGTTGGCGCCCATAGCTGGCGGCACCGGTGACGGACACCACGTGCCCGCACACCACTGGAAGCCCTATGTGTTGGCCGCGTATGCCATTCATGACGAAGTGTTGGCCGCCTTTAATGACGTCCAAAAGCGCCGATTTGTGAACGTTTGGCGCGACTGGACGGACAGTATGGTCGCCGAGTGCGTCGATTTGGACCGGAAGCGCGTGTATGATAGTATCGACGAGTTTTTTGCGGTAAATGCATTAAATCTTGTTCTTTATTATATGAGCTATCATCTAGGTAATACCATACTTACCATAATTATCTAATTTACATTTTATTTGGGCATGTACTACAATTTATGTACAAATTAACAAGGTGCGGCAAAAATCTGTGGCCATCATGCTCATCTATCAGCTCATTGAGTACGCGAACAATCTCTACGTACCGGAGCCCGAGTGGCGCAACCCTACAATGCAATTGTTGTTCACAACGTTAGAGCGTTTGGACGCCATCTGTAACGACATGTACTCCTTTGAGAAAGAGCTGATGGACGCCGACGGGTGTCCGCACCGGACGTACAACTGTGTGGCCGTATTGGCCGCTATCAAGAATATATCGCTCACTGAATCTATGAACCGATGGGTGACTGAGTTTAGGGACTTAGGAAAAAAAGCATTAGATTTGAGCGATGAGATATTGGGGTCGGACTGGGCCAGTCCGGACACTCGGGTATTTGTCCGCCATGTTATGTACTGCTCTGGCGGTCATTGGAAAGCGTCCACCATGGTTGATCGGTATAATACCCTGACCACACCGGCAATGCTTGACTAGTGAAATGATGATTTTGTTACTATTTTAATAAATAAATTTCTATCTTGTTAAATGATTTTTAATAGATTAATTAATGCATGTTTGTTACGACATAATAATGTTTATAAAATTTTACAGTTAGACTACAACATTATAAAAGGATAAATGTAATAGTAATTCAAAATTTATTTTTGAAATTAAAAAATCGATACATTTTAAGCACTTGCGTAATTTATCAGATTACAGTGATATTTAAAATAAATAACCATGATCATATTCTGAGATGTTCTTCAAGTTTAACTAAATCACAACTCAATTCCCACAGACTTTTGGCAGTCTTATCGTCATTGGCTTCGGGTATCATATGATCCACACGACGACAGTTGCTATAAATACATAAATACAACATTAAAGTTACATATTTACAATTTACAAATAATTACTCGTAATAATATCCGGTCTCATCAGCGATATCGTCGTCGAGAGCGCAGTAGAGTGTGGTCTGAGAGCCCAGAAATGGTGTCAGTAAAAAATTGCGCCCAAACCAACCCCTGGTCGTCGGGGTCTCTGACTTATTGATGTGTCGACTCAGCTCTGTGTTTATGACACCGGGATTTAGGGAATATGTGTTTATGTTTGAGTGGCGGAGCCTTTTGGCCAATTCCCGGCTGAACAACACATTTGCGAGTTTGCTCTGTCCGTATGCGAAAATGATATTGTGTGTGCCGTTTCGTAAGTTTATATTATCAAGGTGGATCTCGCCAAACTTGTGAATGGCTGACGACACGGTCACTATACGACCCGCCGGTGCTTTCTTTAGCAATGGTATCAAATGTAGGGTAAATAGAAAATGACCTGAAAATTATAAATTACATTAGGATTATTTTAAATGTCGGTAGAAACTATAAATTTAAATTACCTAGATGATTAGTTCCAATCACCATTTCAAACCCATCCTCTGTCTGCCACTCCGGACAACCGGCGATTCCGGCGTTATTGATAAGTATATCGACTTTTGTCTCCAAACCCGACAACTCTTCCACACATTTGCGGACAGATTTGAGTGAAGACAAGTCCAGCGAAAGTAGTTTTATGTACCGGCGTTATTGATAAGTATTTCGACTTTTGTCTCCAAACCCGACAACTCTTCCACACATTTGCGGACAGATTTGAGTGAAGACAAGTCCAGCGAAAGTAGTTTTATGTTTGCCTTTGGATTCAATGCTAAGATGTCTTCGACGGCCGCTTCGCCTTTCTTCTGGTCCCGACACCCGATGTATACCTTTTGTGATATAAATAATAAACTTTTAAAAATATAGCAAAATCAATAAAATATTTATAAAATAAATTATAAATTAAATTAAAATCATTATATAGTATTTATTTTATAATAAAGTGCATACACTGTGAACTTATCTAGTAATACAAAGTAATTATAATAAATTTTTATAATAAATACAAATGACAATAATATGTTTTTTATCATACCTTGGCCTCTCTGAGTGTGAGCTGATATGCAGTCTCTTTACCGATACCAGTGTTACCGCCGGTCACCACAACTACCTGTCCATTAAGCTTCTTATCGCTGGTCACCCGTCGTCGCCAACCAATGAAATTAGTTGTATGTTCATAGAAACAAACACATATCCACCGCCAAATATATATTAATTTAAAGTGATATAATATTGAATATATTCCCATTGTTTAATAAATTAATTTAAAATAGCAAAGAATAAATTGCTAAAATTTTGTATTAAACACAAAACAAATTATTAGGTGTTTTATTAATTAATAAAATGATATTTGTTTATAATCATATTTTACATTTGCTTTATATACCTTTCATTCTGACAGTTGAGTATTTTATACCAATATTATTCTTATTCTTATGCTCATGCAATTTATGCACTAAAATAAACAGATAATTAACAAAATTCAACGAGTTAAGTCAAAATCTCTGTGATATTAAACAATAGTATTTATACACTTGATTAGCACTAATGCATAACCATTATTTATGAGAATTAATTGAAATTAATAGTGCTGGTAAAGGTACATTATATTCAATATCTAATAGAAAATTTTTACCAAGGTTACAATTGCAAATGTCAATAAAATACAAAATAGAAAATTATAAAAATAAATAAGGCAACAATTCCATAAATAATATAATATAAGGCTTATAAAAGTTGTTAATTAGTTAAAGACTGTCAAAAAATCTATTTAATTAATGTTAAACTTATGAAATAATTGCGATAATCATTATTGTAACTAAAATTGAGTGAAACTTTTGTATTCAACTTAAGAAAATACATCTTTTTAGCAACTTTCTGGTTGCCGTAAAAATAAAATATGATTGATCGAGTTATTTTATGTCCAACTGATTTAATTACTTATTTTTATTAATAAATAAATTGAGATAACAAACAAGTTTTAGTTTATATTATAAGATTATACAATTAGGGAATTAAATTATACAATTATAATTGTTCTAGCGCGATTAATAATTTATAAAATATTGCAAAATACTTAGTTACTAATGTTTATAAGAGAAATGTAGGGAAAGTATGTATTGTTTAATTCTATGACATGTCCATCAGTTGATCTTATAATTATTTTATTGAATTTTTAAAAATATTTTATAAATATTGCACCATGTGCATTATAATTTTTTTAAAATTTATTTATAATATAATTTAGTTTTAAGTTGATTTAATAATTTGATATTAAGCTTAAAATGTGAAAGATTATCCGAAATACAAATTATTAAAATTTATAATTTAACCAACACACAATTAAAATAATTAACAAATATTAAATCCTAAGACGTTCTTCGAGCTTAACTAAATCACAGCTCAATTCCCACAGACTTTTGGCAGTCTTGTCGTCATTGGCTTCGGGTATCATATGATCCACACGACGACAGTTGCTATAAATAAAAAAATACAAAAATTAAATAAATAATATTGTAAAGACTTTATAATAATCTAGACCTATTAAACTAAAAATAATTTTATAATAATTACTTATAATAAAATCCCGATTCATTTGCGAGCTTATCGTCGAGAGCGCAGTAGAGTGTTGTCTGAGAGCCCATCAATGGTGATAGAAAAAACCTGCGCTTTAAGCAACCACTTTCGGTCGATACCGACCCCTCCCGGGCCTCAGACGTGCCCACGTGACGGCTCAGGTCAGTGTTTACCACTCCGGGAGTCAGACTATAGGTACTTATGTTTGAATAGCGGAGCCTTTTGGCCAATTCTCGGCTGAACAACACATTTGCGAGTTTGCTCTGAGCGTATGAGAAGAATGGATTGTATGCACCGTTTCGCAGGTTTACATTATCAAGGTGGATTTGGCCAAATAGATGTATGCCTGAAGATACGGTTATTATACGAGCTGCCGGTGCTTTCTTTAACATTGGTATTAAATGTAGTGTAAATAAGAAATGACCTGAAAATTATAAATTAATTTTTTGCATAAATTCATATAGTTAAAAATTTATTATCATAATTAATATTTATATAGCATTTTAATATCATATATATATATCACTGTTTGTTAAATATAATTAGATAACATACCTAAGTGATTAGTGCCGAACTGCATTTCAAACCCATCAGCCGTTGTCCACTCCGGACAGAGAGCAACGCCGGCGTTATTGATAAGTATATCGACTTTTGTCTCTAAACCCGACAACTCTTCCACACATTTGCGGACAGATGTGAGTGAAGACAAGTCCAGCGAAAGTAGTTTTATATTTGCTTTTGGATTCAATGATAGGATATCATTGACGGCCGCTTCGCCTTTCTTTAGATCCCGACACAATATATAAACCTTTTTGTATTTAAAAATAGTAATACATATAAAACAAACGTTAAATTATTAAAATTGAATTATAAAATTAATTAAGATAAATTCACATTACTTTTTCTAATTTTTATATTTTAATAAAGTATTATAAAATTTTAATTTATTATACCTTAGCCTCTCTGAGTGTGAGTTGATATGCAGTCTCTTTACCAATGCCAGTGTTAGCTCCGGTAATCACAACTACTTGTCCATTAAGTTTTTTATTACTGTTAACCCGTCGTCGCCAACCAAATACATTTACCATATATTCATTGAAAATATTATATATTATACGCCAAATGTGCTTTAATTTGAAGTGATATCCCATTATTCAACAAATTAATTAATATAATATTAAAGATACGGTATATATAATATTGTTAATTCACTTTAAGCATCAGGTAACTTAACTTTTTTACTTTAAACATAAAATTTTAAATACAACATTAAACATTTGATTATAAATGTTATTTCTGTATATTAATAAAGATACACAAAATACAAATTGTTTATTGTGTAAACCAACCACTATAATTTGTGTATATAATATTGCGGTAAATAATATATTGAATAATAGCTTTATATACTCTGGATGTGTGCGCTGGTGAAGGTTGTGTATACTACATAATTACATAGACAAGTTACATATTGTACGTACACTACAGGTACACTACATGTATTGTATAATTAGGACAAATAATTGTAAACTGTACAAAGGATGGGTACACTTGAATTGCACTAAAGTATTGCCATTAAATGAATGTTAAAGTATTTGTTTATTAAAGAACTGTTTTAAAAATGTTGCCATATTTTAATTAAATAATACTATTATTTATAAATCAACAAAAATAATATTTTCATTAATACACAAAATGTATATTAATTATTAAAATTTACATAATTATAATACATAAATAATTTAATAATAATTTGTTAGAAAATAATATTTATTTTTATTGATATAACCATGGAATTCCAAATATCAAAATGGTTATATATAGTTCATACTGTACTTGCTAAAATATGAGTATTCAGAGTTCACATTTAATTCATTATTACTACTAATTTTACTATTACTAACGAACAAATTATGGTTAATATACAGTACAACCTCTTCCTATAAAATATACAATTTGCACCTAGTGTACACCTTGGAATACTATGGATATAACAATAATAAAAAAATTAAAAATTAAATAATAAAATTATTTGTTTCTATTATAATAACTTGACTTGAATAAACAGACGATAAATACTGAATATTGAAAATCACAATATAATTTTGAATTAAATGTTGAAGTTATAATTAAACATGGTAAATGTAAGTTATTTGTTTTAATTAGAATATTTATTTTAGAACTAAGAATTGATAAATTTTGATACAACACATAAAATGAAAAATTTTATAATAAAACATGATAATAAAATCATTATACTAAACTATGAATTAAAATAAAACAACATGATTAAATTCTGAGATGCTCTTCGAGTTTAACTAAATCACAGCTCAAATCCCACAGACTTTTGGCAGTCTTGTCGTCATTGGCTTCGGGTATCATATGATCCACACGACGACAGTTGCTATGAAAATACAAAATAAAAATAAAAAGTTATAAATAATTTCGTATAAATTGGGAATCAAATAATATATTAATTATAATAACAAATAATTACTTGTAATAATATCCCGTCTGATCTGCGACTTCATCGTCGAGAGCGCAGTAGAGTGTGGTCTGAGAGCCGAGTAGTGGCGAAATGCAAAAGTTGCGCCGAAACCAACCCCTGTCGGACGGGTTGCCCGCATCGAATGCCCCAACATGTCTGTCCAGTTCTGTATTAATGACTCCCGGATGCAGTGAATACGTGTTGATGTTTGAGTGGCGGAGCCTTTTGGCCAATTCACGGCTGAACAACACATTTGCGAGTTTGCTCTGAGCGTAAGCGAAAAAGTTATTGTATGTACCATTTCGTAGGTTTACATTATCAAGGTGGATTGGGCTACACATATGCAAGGCTGACGACACAGTCACTATACGACCCGCCGGTGCTTTCTTTAGCAATGGTATCAAATGTAGTGTAAATAGAAAATGACCTGAAAATTTTAAATTAATTTTATTATTTTAATTTAATAAAATATATATTATATGTTTTATATTTAAGACCATCATTAACGATTGATGATTATTATTTAGCACACATAATTATTATTTTCTATTGTGGTTAAAACTATCATGGTTAACATACCTAAATGATTAGTGCCAAACTGCATTTCAAAGCCGTCCTCTGTCTTCCATTCAGGACAACCCATAACTCCCGCGTTATTGATAAGTATATCGACTTTTGTCTTCAAACTCGACAACTCTTCCACACATTTGCGGACAGATTTGAGTGAAGACAAGTCCAGCGAAAATAGTTTTATGTTTGCCTTTGGATTCAATGATAGGATGTCTTTGACGGCCGCTTCGCCTTTCTTCTGGTCCCGACACCCGATGTATACCTTTTGTTATATAAAAATTAGACTTATAGTAAACATTTGAAATATTTGTGTAAAAATAACTAAAATTAAATAAATGACAAATATTAAATATCCCATACCTTAGCCCCGCGTAATGTGAGCTGATATGCAGTTTCTTTACCGATGCCAGCGTTACCGCCGGTCACTACAACTACCTGTCCATTAAGGTTTTTAGCACTGGTCACACGTCGGCGCCAACCCATGAAATTTGAAAAATGTTCATATAACACTAAACATAACATACGCCAAAATACTGTAAATCTAAGGTGGTATAATATTCCCATTGTAGTTGACTTGTTTTATAAATATTTTATATTATATTAAATATTACACTTGATTTTACTGTTTAATTGTGAAAAATAACAAATTTTATATTATACATAAAATATGAAATTAAATGTTACGTGTTTTAGTGATAATTAATAAGGTATTTATATGAATACATATAATATTCTGCACAGCATTTGAAAGAGTTGCAACAAAATTGCATGCATAGTATTTCTAAATCTATGGTATATATACTTTTTTAATATGTACTTATAAATACCGCTTATATCTACAGTTAAAGTGAAGGTCGAGTACATTATATAATGTTATAAATCAAAGTCTGTATAACTAAACATTAGTATCCGTACACTGGAAATGCACTAAACATTGCGATTTAATTATAAAATCTGTTTTTCTTATATATTATCATGTTTAAAATTCTATTGGTAATTGTTTAATTTCATATTGTAGATATGTTTTAACAAAACTATTCCCAAACATGCGGAACAGTTATATACAATATTTAATAATAATGTTTATTTAATGTAAAAAGTGTATATTTAAAACTTATTTGGAAGCATGTACCAATATGATGTATTATATAAGATAATAAAATTAAACTATTATCAGTCAATCATTATCTGAAGTATGTAGTATATTTAGTTGTCAATTATTGGCAAAACATTTTGACGTATAGAATTTTAATGAATGAGCTTGAATAAATCCCACGTGAGTGTAAGTGATATTTTTTGAGAATTATGGCTCTAACGCAAATTTAAAAAATTAATAATAAATATAAAATAAATAAATAAATATAATAAAATAAAAATAACTGTACTGTTTTATGTAGAACTTTCTCAATTTTAATATATCATAAACATTTAATTAATTTTATTTAATAAAAATTTTAAGTTTAAAATAAAGCAGAAAATATAATTTAAACTTTACTTTATTTTATTTTCAAATTACTCTATTTTAAAAGATATTTTGAATATAAATTTTTTTAAATACAAAACAATTTACTTTCTGCGTAAATGTCTGGTCACACATTATATCATTCAATGTAAAATTATATGTAGATAAAAGACTGGTTAATTTAACACACTCAAATTCTGTACTTATCAGCAAGATCAACCAACTCGCAGCTCAATTCCCATAGCATTTTAGCTGATTCCTCATCTTTGCCTCGTTTAATCAATTTGTCCACTCGTTTGCAATTACTATAAAAATATATATAATATGATTAATAAATTATTTTTCAGAGAGAGAGAGAGAGAGAGAGAGAGAGAGAGAGAGAGAGAGAGAGAGAGAGAGAGAGAGAGAGAGAGAGAGAGAGAGAGAGAGAGAGAGAGAGAGAGAGAGAGAGAGA